TCTTATAAACTAGGAAAGTCCTAGGATAACGTCGTATCCTTTAAAGTCTATAAGTCGCGCTTTAAGAGTTCTTAACTAGTCTTCTAAGGTATAAGGTAACTTAAGTCCTTTCTTTATTACAATAGTTTACCTATTTAGTAGGACTATCGACTTTGTTATAATAGGAATAATAGAACTCTTCTAAAAGGTTCTAGCCTTTAAAGCTAATATGTAAACACTAGATGCTATAGTATTAAGTATAAAGATAATCTTATAGACATTATTACGAGGTCTAATAGTTCTATGTAGCGTAAGAAGACCGCTATCTAGGGTAGCAAAGTATTTAGTCTTCTCTTTTAGCGAAGATCTAGTAGTTACGTTTATATCTATACTTATAACTAGGTTCTCTTCTTCGTTAGAGGCCTTATAAGGTAAGGAAGTTACCTTAGTTATAACCTTACCTACTTATTTTTTAAATAGCATTCTCTAGCATAGTAGCTAGGCTTATTATAGGAATAGTAAGTAACTTTTAACTTATCCTATTTGCTCTTTCCTTTACTACTACCCTTACCTTTCTTCTTCTTACCTATTACATTAAGGGATTTAATAGTTGCATTTAGGTTCTTACTTTAGTTCTTTCTTTTATAACGGAAATAAACCTTATTAAGAGCAATAGCCCTATTAATGTAATCATCCTTTAAGGTATTTAAGGGTAAATAAAGCTATATGTCTAGAGCATCTCTTATATCTTCTTAAAGGCTATCTCTATACCTTCTAAGAAAAGTTTTAAAAGATAGAATAGAGACAAGTTTACGTAAAAGGGTTTATAAGTCCCTTATAAAAGCCCTAGCTAAACTAGTCTATCTTATATGCTTAAATCGTCTCTTTTTAATTTCTATCTAATCGAGATCTATATAATGGTACTAGATCTTTAACAATTAGGCTATAAAAGAATTAACTATAAGGTATTCTTACTAGCAATTAAAAGGGTCCCCTTCTAGATAGGAAGAAGTAAGGCAGTTCTTTTCGTTATCTTATAATAGTCTATAAAAGATAAAGTCCTCTTATAAACCTATCTAGTTTTTAAGTTAAGTGATCTAATTATCTACTTCTTTATTCTTTATCTTTTCCTTAAAGGTAGGAGGTTTCTAAATAGGTACTTTTAGATAATACTTATGCTCTCTAGTAGTAGTTATAAAGCTAGAAGTAGGAGGAGTATCTTATTGCATTAGCTCTAGCTATAAAGAAGGTAGAGGCGCCTATTATAGAGGCTATTATAGACTAGGTTAGTTCCTTGCCTAGTATTCTGCATATTCGGCCTCTTAGTTTAGGCGGTTCTACTCTATACGGTAGAGGATCTTAAGTAGTTCTTTATAGGTTATTAATAAAGGGTCTCGAGGTTCTTAACCGACTTATTACAGCCTAGTTGTAGGTCCTCTAACTAGTTAATAGCTAGTTATAGACCCCTCTAGCTAAGCGTAGCTAGTTATAGGGTCGTAGTAGAGATTAGGTTCTATTAGAATGTAAGAGAGTTATATAAGTAGGGGATATAAAGAAGTTTTAAAGAGGCTAAAGTACTATGTTAGTAGTACTATGCTATCTAGTCCTCTTATAAGAAGGGATATCCTTCTTATATTAATTAGAGTTCCTCTAGCTAGAAAGACTACTTAGATCTATCTTATAACTCCTTATAGACGTATGTTTGTCTTTGGTAGAATAGAAAGCTATAAGCTTAGCTTAAAGATAAATGCCTTACTACTCTTATCCTTGAAGTTATAGGGGTTATAGCTAATTATAAGAAAAGTGTAGTTACGGACTAAGGGAAGCTAATGTTAGCTTACTCTTATAACTACATTATATCCTTATAACTCCTATAAGTTAACTAATAAGGAGCGTAATAGCGATGCTGGCGTCGTGTAGGGTTAAGGTAGTTGTAAGTCTACCTTTTAAGGGCTATAGAGGGCACCCTAGGCCGTAGAGGCCTTCTAGAGCTTAGCTACTAGATGTAATTGCTAAAGGAACTTGATTTTTTAGACTACTAGCGCACGGCACGATTATATACTAAATCCGCTAAGCAATGGCTTACTCCGGCTTCGCAATAACATTGATGACGTCAGTTGCTGCGAGGCACACCCTGTTCTCTCACACAACTTCTCCATTTTCTTTGCGTGCAAGGAAACGACAGGAGTATATTTGCTACAGAGCAGCTCTTCATGTACATCTTCTCCATACGAGGTACGAGAGTGATCATGGGCTATCGAAATGCACAGTCGCAATTGGAGCATGAGTCTGATCATGGAGACATTCCTTGATGGTGTTCTCCATCTTTTCGATCAGATATTGTGCATTTCTCTGGCTACACTGTGGTTGTCTCTGGCACATGGGGAGGACGCTATAGATATGATACAACCTATGTTGTGTCAGAGCATGATGATAGTTGAACAAGAATATTTACAATGAAAAATAAAACCCAAAACTCCATGATGATGCTACCTCTTCCTGTTCTGTGGCTTCCAAAATCATGGTATCATTTGCTTTTTGAAACAGAACTCCAACCTCATGCCTTTGATGTTGATAGTACAAAACTCGGACCAATCCTCGTCAATTCTGTTCGGAGCCGGTAAAATGAGGATCCCCAGATGCATTGGGGTTCAGGAAAGGATGGTCGAGGGCTTCTTCGGCTGTTATGCGCTTGGAAGGATCGAGCTCGAGACAAAGAGACATAAATTGTACGGCTTCTTTTTCCTCGTCGGTAAGTGGAAGGTCGGTCTTACGACGTTCAGTGCACCACAGCAGAATCTTCTCCCAGCTGTGGCCGTTCTCGCTGATGGTAGGAATGTTCGTTTGGAGGACTTGGCCGTGCAGCAAAGCAGTCTCGTTCATGCGACGCTTGCCAAAGATACTGCAAAGCTCGATGAAGGCGTCAATGTCGTCGGCAGAATGGAAGAAAGGAAAGCGGCGACTGAGGAGAGTAAGGAGGATGATGCCGCAACTCCAAATATCGATAATACACGTCTGGGAAGTGCATTTCAGCAAGACTTCGGGAGCGCGGAAGCCTCTGGTGCCGGCACGGTTGGCTCTGCGAGAATTTCTCGAGTCTTCTTTGGGATATGAGGGAGGAGGTGGTAGCTGGCCAGCATCACGATATTGTGTTCGGATGGAGGAATAGAGGGAGCTCTGGTAACGGTATTGACGGTCAGATGTTGAGTACTGGCAATTGCAATGATGCCAGTCTGTTCCTTCCCGCTCGGCCAGACCAAAGTCGACGAGAACGCCCCTCTGAGTTGCGGGGGAGTAGAGGAAGTTTGTAGGCTTGATGTCGCGGTGGATGATCTGATGCTCGTGGACGGCGCGAACGGCAGTGAATAGTTGGTTGAAGTAGACACGCATGTCGTTGACGGTCATGTCACGGAAGTAGTCGCGGAAGTCGCGGTGCTGAAAGTATGGCAGGACAGCAACGACCTGATCTTGATGGCGGAAGGCAGTGATGAGCGGACAGACATTTTGTGAGTCGCGGAGGTCGTGTAGCAATTCGAGCTCATTGAAGATGCGCATGGGCGACGAGGTGACATAGATCTTCTTGATGGCAACATAGCGGGCGCGTGGACGGTCTCGTGCTGTCTTTGTCTGGGGAGAGAGGGACATGTCGTTCCAGTCATTCTTGTACTTGTCGTAGAGGAGATCTTCGGCTTTGTAGACGGTCGAGAAGGTGCCTGGAATTGGGTTAGATGAGCTGAGACGAACAAGCTAAGGATAGTGTTTGTACCTTCTCCGATGCGATTGATCAGACGGAAGCGCTGTGAAATGTTTTTGAACGACTGTTCGAAGCGAGCAATGTCTTCTTGCACCGATGCTTCGACCTCTTCCTCCTCTTGGTCGGCGTCGCTTTCATTGGGCTCTGTGGCTTGACTCTCGTCCATGGTGTTCTTGCTCTCGTCCATGGCGTCTTCGGTCTCGTCCTCGCTGCGCATGTGATAGTCGGCGGGAATGGCCTCGCGCACCGTCTTGGCTCCACGCATGCTGGCCATTGTGCTGGAGTCTTGCTCGAGAGGAGAATCAGACAAAAGACATTTCGAGGTTGTTGATTGTTATTGTTGTTCTGCCAGAAAATGCCCCTCCACCCGCAGTCGCGGTCGCAATGATGGAGAAGGCATCGCAAGCGGCGCCTTCCCCGATCGGGCAAGACGTCAACACGAGATTCGTCTTCTCCGCAAACATCAACACCTGCACCTGCCACTTTCTCTGCCCGCTGCCGCTGCTGCTCTTTCCTACGTGTTTGCGCGACCAACAAGAAGAAAGAACCCTCAGGGTGCGCCTCGCCCAACATGGAGGCTCTACAGGATTTCGACATCAATCAAGCCCTCAAGACCTACCTCACCAACCCGCTTGAGACAGACACGCCCGATGCCCATCCCGACCTGCTGGAATGCGAACACAACCCGGAAGACTTGACTCCCGCCCTGGTCAACTCCGTATTGAATCCCATCGTGGATGCAATCACTGAAAACCCTGAAGCTGTTGCTCGTTCCGTCAACTTTGACTCGTTGCAGTTCCTTCTCAAGTGCGCTCCCACTCGTCAACAAGACGCTTCTCAGACACATGTGCCTGACCATGACCTCAGAAAATTCAACCTTATCCCCACCCAATCGCTCTCCAAGCTCCTCGATCTGATCCTCTCCGCTCTTTCCGCCGAGGCCGATGCTGTACACAATGACATCGAAGCTGACGAACAAGACTCGATCCCCCAGCACAAGCAGCTTCTCGAGATGCTCTCCTTCCTCCTCATGTGGTGCTTCACCAGCGTCGAAACCAGAGTCGTCTCCGAGAAATCCGCTGCCCCGGCTGCTCGTGGAAGAGGAAGAAAATCTGCTACAACAAAAAAGTCTGCAAAAGACGCTCCGTGGGATCCTTCCATGCAGATTCAGTCTGCCCTCAACACAATGACAAAGGTCATGAAGCTCAAGCTTGCAAGGATTTTTGTCACCACTTCCGAGCGCGATACCTTTATCGGCCTCTTCACACGCCCCGTCTACCTCATGATGGAAAACGAAGCAAGAGTCAAAAATAATGCCATCAAGATGCACGCCTTCAGAGTCTTGTGCATTGCCGTCAAGCACCACGGCCATGCTTCAGGAGCACAGACAAACATCATCCAGAGTCTTCTGTACTTTGAGCACCTCTCGGAGCCAATGGCTGAATTGCTCAACATTCTCGCTGCCGAATACGACTATCCTCAGCTTTCCGAAGAAGTCTTGCGCGAGCTGAGCAACCAGGAATTCAGCAGCAGCGACTTGAAGGGGCCCAAATCTGTATCCACATTCATCACAAAATTCTCCGAGCTGGCGCCACGACAGGTCATCAAGCAAGTCATGTTGCTCGCAAAATTGCTCGACAGCGAGTCTTACACTTTGCGTTGTGCCATCATCGAAGTTTGTGGAAACTTGATTGCCATGTTGAGCAAGCAGGAAGGTGAAGAGCGCAGTGAGAACCACAAAGGTCAGATCAATGCCTTTTTCGAGGTGCTTGAAGAGCGCTTCCTCGACATCAACCCTTATTGCAGATGCCGCGCAATTCAGGTCTACATGAAGCTCTGCGAGCTCGAAACAAAGTACCCGAAACGCAGGCAGAAAGCAGCAGATCTCGCTTGTCGCAGTCTAGAAGACAAGAGCAGCAACGTCAGAAGAAACGCCATCAAGTTGCTTGCAAAACTTATCGAGACTCATCCATTCGCTGTCCTCCATGGCGGTTTGCTTTCATACACAGATTGGAACTCGCGTTTAGAAGTTTGCGAGGCCGAAATTGCTGCTCTGAAGCCACCGCAAGAAGCCGCTGGTATGGTCGAACAGCAGGAAGCGACAGTCGACGAGGAACTCCTGGACGATGCTACTCAAATGTCGCCTGTCAAGGATAAGCCAGCCATGACGGAAGAGCAGAAGCAGGCAGCTTTCGAGAAGGCCGCCGCTGAGGCTGTCACAGCTGAGATGATGAACAAGCTCACCTTGACTCGTCGTTACTACCTCGAGGCCCTCAAATTTATTGAAGTACTCCACGAAGCCGCGACTATTATCACTCAACTTCTGGCCTCCAAGAACAAGTCCGAAGTCATTGAAGCCATGGACTTCTTCGTCATCGCAAACGCATACAGCATCGAAAATGGCCGGGCAGGCATCCGAAAGATGCTTCGCCTCATCTGGACCAAGGGCAACAGTGACGAAGGCAAGGGTGTTCAAGCTCATCTCATAGAATGTTACAAGGGCTTGTTCTTCCAAGCGCCAGATAACTACTCCGCCAATGACGCTGCCAATTACATCGCCAGAAACATGGCCAGTTTGACCTTTGGCGCGACAGCTGCTGAACTGACCAGTCTGGAACAACTGCTCAGCACAATGATGCAATCAGACTTCATCAAAGATCTGACTATCCAGAAGTTGTGGCAGATCTATGGTGTCGAGCGCAGGGAAATCTCGAGAAATCAGCGTCGCGGTGCCATCATTGTACTTGGTATGCTCGCTCTTGCGGACCCTGACATTATCGTCAAGGAGATGACAACTTGCCTTCGCATTGGCCTTGGAGCACGTGGAAGAGCAGATCTGGTCCTGGCCAAGTATACCTGCATTGCTTTGATGCGCATGAACAACCCCAAGCACACCAAGGGCGTCCAAGCCGCTCCCACTTCAACACGCCTTCCAAACGACCACGCTGTTCTCCAGAAGCTGGCTGCAATGGCAGATGTGAAGTCTTCGAGCAAAGAGTGGTATGGTCTTGCCGAGGCAGTCATTAGTGCTATCTACGCTCTCTCCAAGCACCCCGACGAATTGGCATCAGAAATTCTCAGGTTCAAGACGAAGAAAGTGTTCTCACCGTCTGCTGTACCTACAAAGTCTGAGCCAGTCGAAGTTGAAGACGATGGCGACATCGAGATGAGCGGTATGGATGATGAGCCAATGGAGGAGGCTCCTCCGATCAAGAAAGAAGAGGAAGAAGTGGAGATGCCCGCGGCAGAAGATGCTGCTCTGCCCTTGTCTCAATTGCTCTTCACCGTTGGCCACATTGCGATTAAGCAAATTGTACATCTGGAAATGTGTGAGATGGACTTCAAACGCCGGAAGATGGACAAGGAGAAGCAGGCAGCTGCAGAACCCGCACCCACCAAGAAGGGCAAGGGTGCGAAGAAGGATGCAAAGGACGTCAAAGAAGAGGAGCAAGATGACCTTGACCTCATCACTGGCACAACAGAGGATGACTTTACCGATGCTATCGCGCATGTTCGCGAGAGGGAGCTTCTCTATGGTCCCCACTCACTGCTGGCCAACTTTGGTCCGCTGGTTCGTGAAATTTGCATGAACAACACATCATATGCCAACCAAGAGCTGCAGGCACAAGCTGCTTTGTGTTTAGCCAAGCTGATGTGTGTGAGCTCAGAATACTGCGAGCAAAACTTGGGACTGCTCATCACCATTCTTGAGAGAAGTCCCGATGCCACAACTCGCAACAACCTGGTGATTGCACTCGGAGACATGGCGGTCTGCTTCAACCATCTGATCGATGAGAATACCGACTACCTCTACCGCCGTCTATCTGACAGGTCGTTACCAGTCAAGCGCACCTGTTTGATGACGTTGACATTCTTGATTCTGGCTGGACAGGTCAAGGTCAAGGGACAACTCAGCGAGATGGCCAAGCTTGTCGAGGACAGCGATGACAGAGTGCGTGACATGTCACGGATGTTCTTCAGCGAATTGGCTGGCAAGGACAATGCAGTGTACAACCAGTTTGTCGACATGTTCAGTCTTCTATCTCGCGACGAGGCGCTCGAGGAAGAACAATTCCGACGCATCATCAAGTTCTTGTCAGGCTTCATCGAGAAGGACAAGCACGCGAAACAGCTTGCAAACAAGCTGGCGGCGAGACTTCCTAGAGCAGAGAATGAGAGGGAATGGAATGACGTGGCATATGCACTTGGTCTTCTCCAGCACAAGGATGAGGAGATCAATAAGGTTGTCAATGAGGGGTACAAGGTTGTTCAGGCGACGGCTTGAAAGCAAGATGAAGAGATTTGGACATTTCGGCGTTGGTATGGAGGGTCATGGGTCACGAACTGTATAGGCTTTCTTTTCTTGTTGATACCCATTGAAGATGACATCTTTCTAGACCTGATGCGGCGTCTGTGAGTGAGCATACAGTGATGGTGCAGTCGAGCGCCTTGCGCCTTGAAGCGGATGTTGTTGATGTTTTTCGGCAAGAGTCGGGGCCTTCGGACAAGAATTGGCTGAGCCGGCGGCGGGAGTCCGCAACTTCTCACCGAAGAGAGCAGGCTTGGCACGGCTTTGTCGATTCGTCGTTGCTTAGCAAGAGCTGGAACCTCAACCAGAGAGTTTGTTATACCGCCCTCCTTCTCATAGGACCTCTGTTTCCTTCGTTATTTTGTTTCGCTTTCCCTCTACCGTCGCCATGTTCTCGCACATGATCCCTCGCGCATCGCGCCCGCTGCTCCGTTCAGCAAACAACACTTTCCGCGCCTCGCCTTCGACCCTTTACCTTGTCGACAAAGTCCAGTCAAGGAGATCATACGCCACAGAGACTGGTACGCGTGCTTGAGAAGAACCCAACGAAGAGCTCGAGCTGACTCTTGTGCGCAGAGGAGAAGGACTTGGTCATCATCGGTGGTGGTGTTGCTGGTTACGTCGCCGCCATCAAGGCCGGTCAGGAGGGTCTCAAGGTGAGCCGCGACCCTCTGTACACAACATTCCCGACACCCACTAACCGATCGCTCCCTCCAGGTCGCCTGTATCGAGAAGCGTGGTTCCCTCGGCGGTACCTGCTTGAACGTCGGCTGCATCCCCTCAAAGTCTCTTCTCAACAACTCGCACCTCTACCACCAGATCCTTCACGACACCAAGAACCGCGGTATCGAAGTCGGCGATGTCAAGCTCAACCTCAAGCAGATGATGAAGGCCAAGGAGACTTCGGTCAACGGTCTGACCAAGGGTATCGAGTTCCTGTTCAAGAAGAACAACGTCGAGTACATCAAGGGCACTGGTGCTTTCGCCGACGAGCACACCGTCCAGGTCAACCTCACCGAGGGTGGTGAGACCAGCGTCCGCGGCAAGAACATCCTCATCGCAACTGGTTCCGAAGCCACTCCTTTCCCCGGTCTTACCATCGACGAGAAGAAGGTCATCACCTCCACTGGCGCCATTGCTCTCGAGACTGTTCCCAAGAAGATGGTTGTTATCGGTGGTGGTATCATTGGTCTTGAGATGGCCTCCGTCTGGTCTCGTCTTGGCGCTGAGGTTACCGTTGTCGAGTTCCTCGGCCAGATTGGTGGTCCCGGTATGGATGCTGAGATCTCAAAGAACATCCAAAAGACTCTCGGCAAGCAGGGCATCAAGTTCAAGCTCAACACCAAGGTCATGGAGGGTGATGACAGCGGCTCCGATGTCAAGATCAAGGTTGAGGCTGCCAAGGGCGGCAAGGAGGAGACTGTGAGTGCCTGACCATCTGTCTGCGTCCACATCAAAACTAACACAATCCACAGCTCGACGCTGACGTCGTTCTTGTCGCCATCGGTCGCCGTCCTTACACCGCCGGTCTTGGTCTGGAGAACATCGGTCTCGAGACCGACAACCGTGGCCGCATTGTCATCGACCAGGAGTACCGCACCAAGATCCCCCACATCCGTGTCATTGGAGACGTCACATTCGGTCCCATGCTTGCCCACAAGGCTGAGGAGGAGGCCGTTGCTGCCATTGAATTCATCACAAAGAACTACGGCCACGTCAACTACGGCGCAATCCCCTCTGTCATGTACACACACCCCGAAGTCGCCTGGGTTGGCCAGAACGAGGCTGAGCTCAAGGAGGCCGGCGTCAAGTACAAGGTCGGCTCCTTCCCCTTCTCCGCCAACTCGAGAGCAAAGACCAACCTCGACTCGGACGGTATGGTCAAGTTCCTCGCTGATGCCGAGACTGACCGTATCCTCGGTATCCACATTGTCGGCCCCAACGCCGGTGAGATGATTGCTGAGGGTGTTTTGGCACTCGAGTATGGTGCTTCATCTGAGGATGTTGCCAGAACCTCGCACGCTCACCCTACTCTTGCTGAGGCTTTCAAGGAGGCTGCCATGGCTACCCACGGCAAGGCCATCCACTACTAAGCGTGTCATATAAAGGAAAGAGGGAAATGAAAAGAGGGAGGCGTTTTTACTATCAAGCAGACGCGTCTGTTGTTTTTCGTTTTTCTGCATCAACATTTTTGAGTTAATGGCAAATCTGTTTCTTACGTTTGTGTATATGCGATTTTGTACAAATATTCCCAAGCACAAGATTCCTGTTTCACAATGTCTTCTCGATCGTTTGTCGTGACAGTGCTGGATCCGAAATGCAGTAAGACGAGTCCAAGGCTTCAGCAGGCTCTGTTTTTTCCTTTTTCTTTTTTATCTTTTTTTTTTTTTCTCATCAATCTCGTTACCCAATTGCCAATTTCATTTGCAGTAGCATTTCTAACCCATCATGATGAGTTCTCTGATCGCTTTTTGCTTCAAAAAGTCAACGGATATTTCTTATTGCCATGTGTGTATTGCAACAATCAAAGCTGCAGGATTGAGTTTGTTGTGTGTGGATTTCTGGAAGGTCAAGGAACGTGTTGGAGCTCTGATTACCCTGCTGAGCAATTAAACAACATCATAAAATAATGGAAAAGTGACATTAAAAATCTTGCTTCTTTCTGCTGTATTGCAGCTTTATCCTTGCATGGCCTCAAAAGTACAGAATTGACGATTGGCCAGAAAAGACCTGTTCACTATCAAGGAGTGTCAGGGTCATCTGACTTGCGATATTTTTGTTTTTAGGGATTCGCGCTTTCTGCAAAGAAACACTCTTGCTCCACCATCGTTTGAGAGATAGATTTACCCAATCACGTTGGTGACAAATAGCAAGGATGAGAAGAAAAAAAAGTGCAAGTAAGCTGCAAATAAAAGGATCGAATTGACCACGAATCACAACACCAGAAACAGCAGAATGGAAGAAGTTCTGAACGGAGAATTGAAAGTCTTTGTTTCGCTTTTTGCTACTGAGAACGCACACGCTTTTCCTTTCGAGGACAACTGCTTGGAGAAAACTAAGGAGTGCAGCGGCCCATGTAACGAGGATACAGACAAGTGTCGCGGACGGTGTGCTGTTTGCACAGCCAAGCGAGGAAGCGCTCGAGACCGAGTCCGTAGCCGCCGTGGGGGGACGAGCCGTATCTGTTATTCTCATGTTAGCATCATGCTTGCAATCATTCAGGAAGTGGAAGAAAACGTACCTGCGCTGATCGGTGTACCAGTAGTAAGGCTTGGGATCAATGCCTTCACGCTCATAGGCAGCCATCAACTCATCATAGTCGTCCATTCTCATTGAGCCACCAACAATCTCACCAACACCAGGCATCAAGCAATCGACAGACTCGGTGACGCGACGGTCATCCTTGTCTTTTTGCATGTAGAAAGCCTTGATCTCGACGGGGAAGTGGGTAAGGAAGATGGGACGGTTGATGATATCAGTCATTCTACGCTCAGCAGCCTCAGCAATATCGTCTCCGAACTTGTGGGGTTGGTCTTCTTCGTTGGGGATGTTGTGCTCGACCAGCCAGTCAATGGCTTCACTGTACTTCATGCGCATGAAGGGGCGTTGGGGCATTTGGAACTCGGGGTTGAGTTCCTTGATGATGGCGGCGATCTTGGGGTCGCTCATGGTGATTTCGATGACGCGGCACATGACTTCTTCGAGGTGGACGAGCAGGTCGTCAAAGGTGATGAAGTCGAGTTCGGCTTCGACGTGTGTGTACTCGGACAAGTGGCGGCGGGTGAGGGACTTTTCGGCGCGGAAGGACTTTTCGATACAGTAGACGTCGCCCATGGAGGGCAATACCGTCTCGAGGTAGAGTTGCGAAGATTGGGTCAGGAAGGCGGGCTCGCCGTAGTAGTCGAACTTGAACAGAGTGGCACCACCTTCAACCTGGGTCTGCACAAGGGCGGGAGGAGAGACTTTGCGGCAGCGGACCTCTCTGTAGACCTGGTGGAAAGCGTACTCGACAGCATCGCGGACGAACATGACGTTGGAAGCGACCTCTCCACGAAGAGTGAGATGGCGGAGATCAAGGAGGGTTTGGGCATCACCCTTGGCCTGGACCTTGTTGGTGATGGCGTCGTCACCACCGGGAGCCTTGAACAGGACCTTAAAGTAGTCGGCGTGCAGCTCGCGGTTGTCGGGAGCGTGGTTACCTTCGGGGACAGCACGAAGTTCACCGACAATCTCCATGCTGCTTTCGCGCTGGAGAGTGATGGCGTCGTATGACTTTGCGAGGTCGCCCTGGAGGATGCACTGCATGAAGCCGTAGCCATCACGGAGAGTGATGAAGACCATGCCCTTCTGGCCGCGGTAGCGGTGCACACGACCGAAGACGCGGACGCGAGTGCCCTTCTCGACACCGTTACCACCGAGCTGGACGGCCTTGTTGTCGAGCTTCATCTTCAAGGCGGCAGGCAGCGAGGGGTCCTCCTTGACCTCGATCTTCTTGGCCTCCTCAAGCACCTTCTGACGATCCTCTTCCTCCTTTTGCTGACGGATGGCGAGGTCCTTCTCCTTTGCGGCCTTCTTCTTCTGGGCGTCGGCGTAGTTGGCGGCCTTCTTCAAGGCAGCCTTTGCGGCGGGCTTCCATTCGGGGTCCTCAGCGCTCTTGCGCACTAGGTATTGGGCGTTGTCGGCGTGTTGGAGGAAAGCATATTGAACGGACTTGTAAGGAGCTTGCTCGGAGCCAGTGGCAGACTCGGCGTCGATGCCCTTCTCCTCGTCAATGTAGATGGAGGGTTTGTCGGCCATGGTTGTGTGTCAATTGCTGAGAGGGAAACAAGTTGGGCTCAGCTGCGCACGCGCGTGGAAATAACAGCGAGGGGAAAAGAGTCACAGTTGCTGCTTATCAGCCTGAATAAACCACCGACTGATAGCGGAGCTGAATGACTCATGCTTGCGCCGACTCTATGCGCCTTCCATTCCTGTGTGCTCAGAACTGTGATAGTAAAGCTTTAGAAATGCAGAACATTTTTGAAAACAAGGTATTTCCATTGGGCGATATTGACAGAGGCTGCACTTTCGCTCAGTCAATATTCAGAATCTAAATTTGCATTTCAATGGCCTAGATTATAGTGTTATATGTCAAGGCGGAGAAGGAGTCAATCATGGGTGGGGAGTTGACGCTCGGGGGCTGTCGGTCACGACAACAAGCCGCGACTGCCCTACTCGTATTACTCTGCAACAGTGACATGCGTCCTTGATATTCTCGTTTGGAAAGACCGAAACAAAGAGCTCGTAACACATGTCGCGTAATTCATGAGAACGTCAAGCCCCGCGATGCGACAATCGGGCAACCACTCGACTTAGCAACTGATCCAGCGACAAGGCCAAGCTTCGACCGACCTCGACCATGGACGTGTCTGTTCAAAAGGCGCTGGCCGACAAGCTGTACGACCGTCGTAAAGGCGGAGCTCTGGAGCTTGAGGCCATCATCCGCGACTCTCTGGCTAACAACGACCACGTCCGCATCGAGAAGATTGTCCACCAGCTCTGCCACGACTACGCATACGCCGTCCACCAACCCCACGCCCGCAACGGAGGTCTCATCGGCCTTGCTGCTGCTGCCATCGCTCTCGGTATCGATGTTGCTCGCTATCTCCGTGATATAGTTCCTCCGGTTCTCGCCTGCTTCTCCGACCAAGACGCCAGAGTCCGCTACTATGCCTGTGAGAGCATGTACAACATTGCCAAAGTCGCAAAGGGCGAAATCCTCATCTACTTCAACGACGTCTTTGATGCTCTGTGCAAGTTGGCTGCCGATACTGAGCTCTCAGTCAAGAATGGCGCCGAACTGCTCGATCGTCTGATCAAGGACATTGTTGCCGAATCTGCCGCTTCTTACGTCTCCATCCTCGACAACGAGGTCGATCCAAACAATGAAGATCCCTTCGCAGAACAACCTACCGCCTTCTCGCTCGCCCGATTCATTCCTCTACTGCGCGAACGCATCTTTGTCATCAACCCCTTCACTCGTACCTTCCTCGTCAGTTGGATCACACTACTAGACTCAATACCCGACCTCGAATTGGTCGTCTTCCTTCCAGACTTCCTCGGTGGCCTCTTGCGCTTCCTTTCCGACCCCAACACAGACGTCCATACCACAACCAAGGTCTGCCTCGACCGCTTTCTGGCTGAGATCAAGAAGATTTCGGCCATCAAGAAGGGTATCGCCGAGAGCAAGAGGAGTATTGTCGCCGAGAGCCATCGCAAGCCCTCAATATCCAGTAGAGATGAACTGGAAGTTGGTGACCAAGATCCGGAAGCCCAGCATGATGTCGAGGCAAATCACAACGAAGACAAGGCCAGCTCTGATTCGGCCTCTTTTGTCAGCTCCAACATGGACGAAAAGAATGACAATGATGCTGGCGATGAGTGGATACCTGGTCAAGATGTCCAGATTGAATATGCAAAGATCCTTGACATCTTGATTACATTCTTGAACGACTCGGCCGAAGAGGAAATCCAGATGACAACCCTTCGCTGGATCGAAGGCTTCTTTGATATCTGCCCGGAAGACATGCTCGCTTTTGTGCCTCGTCTTCTTTCCCAAGTCTTGCCGGCGCTGTCGCATCATGTTGATCAAGTTCGCCAGGCTGCCAACAGAGTCAACACTGCTCTCATGGCTCACATCATGTCGCTGCCTGAAGATGGTCAGCAACAGCAGCAGCAGCAATCGAAGACTCCGGGAGAAACATCACGCAGAGACTCAATACCGATACGCACACGAAAGGCAAATAGCCGAGACACGCTGGCAGATTCTGCTGATCAACCCACCACATCCACTTCTCCAACCCTACAACCCTCGAACCCCGTCTTGACAGAGCTTGACTATGAAGCTGCTGTGAACTCCTTGACGTTACAGTTCCTCAATGAGCACGAACAGACTCGTGTGGCTGCATTGGCATGGCTGATCATGCTACATCGCAAGTCGCCGCGTAAGACTTTGGCAATTCACGATGGAACATTCCCTGCTCTTCTCAAAACACTGTCAGATCCGGCAGATGCTGTTGTCACTCGCGATCTCACCCTACTCTCACAGATATCCAAGAACAGTGATGATTCGTACTTTACATCCTTCATGGTTAATCTCCTGAAGCTCTTCTGCACGGATAGAAAACTGCTTGAGATCAGAGGAAATCTTATCATCCGCCAACTTTGCTTGAATTTGAGCGCTGAGCGCATCTATCGCACTCTGGCAGATTGTCTCGAGAAGGATGATGACGTCGAGTTTGCGAGCATCATGGTGCAGAACCTGAATAACAATCTCATCACTGCGCCTGAACTGGCTGATCTCCGGAAACGCCTGAGAAACCTTGAGAACAGAGATGGCCAGACATTCTTCGTGACTCTGTTCAGAGCATGGTGTCACAACGCTGTGGCGACATTCTCCTTGTGTCTGCTTGCCCAAGCGTACGAACAAGCTTACAATCTTCTGCAGATTATCGCAGAGCTCGAGATGACTGTCAACATGTTGATTCAGATCGACAAGTTGGTGCAGTTACTCGAATCCCCTGTCTTCACCTACCTTCGTCTTCAGCTTTTGGAGCCAGAACGCTTCCCTCACCTTTACAAGTGTCTTTATGGCCTATTGATGCTTCTACCGCAGTCTTCGGCATTTGCAGCGCTTAAGAATCGCCTGAATAGTGTCAGTGCGATCGGCTATTTGCATATCGCGCCGAGGACGTAAGTCTTTCTCATCTACTCCAGTTCTCATCGCAATACTGATTTTTTTTAGTGCACCCATCACACCCTCAGCTTCAACTTTCGACAGACCGAATCGCCTCAAGTCTCGGGAAGATCCGGGTGTTAAATGGTCAGACCTGCTGGAGAAGTTCAAATCAGTACAAGAGAAGGCTCGCCGAGCACAACAGCGACCTCAACGCTTGACTACGCTGCCAAATGGACTTACTCTGCCTGACATGGACGACGAACTAGAATCACCAACCCTCAACAAGGAAGCCTCTGCACCAGCAAAAGAAAAAGCCACTGGTAGATTGAGCGGCTTGGGCAGACCCGGGAGTGCGGCTAGTATGACCCGACCTTCTGCGACGCCGACACAAGGACAAGGGCATCAGAAGAGTAGGAGTAGCCTAAGCCAGCTGGGCAGATTTACTAGGAGTACTGCCGCCAAGGCCACAGGTGGGACATTGAAAAAGTAAACTCAGGCTGGAGGGAGAGAGAAAGTGTAATACAAGTCGTCTCAATGGACAGCCGCTTCGTTTCCGAAAGGATTCTGCATTTCTACAGTGTGCGGTTCTGTGCCCAGTGTGCCTGGAGATCATTGCAAGCCAGGACAAAATAAGTTGACTCGTATGCAGAGCGGAATAACAAAAGAACTGTTCGTGTTCGCAATCAACCCCTATGCGTGAGCGATGTTATCCCTCAGCTGTTCAGAATGGCTGGCTTGTTCTAGCCAGTGGTGAAGAAGGATGCGGAGCGCCCGGCGGCTGATGTATCCAATCACAACGGCGAGCTTAACACATTGTACCCAATCTCAACGGCGAGCTGAGCGGCTGTCTGGAATACGAAGCGGATCAAGATCATTAGCAATGCACTCCTGGGAAAGCATAAAAAGATAGGCTGCTTGCTTTCGCACTCATGCGGCCGTCTTTTAACACGTTCAGCCTCGGCCTTTTGAAGTGGTCGGGTTGATCAACACATCTTTTTCCGTCATGGATTATCAAGAATCGGACCAGGTGAAGTTGGAGTTGCTTCACCATGTCGACGAAATATCATCTGTTTACGATGATGAGAGAGACGATTTACCTGTGTTTGAAGCTAAGCACATGCGACAGAGTATGGTTGACTGGAAAAAGTGGACGACGATACAGCCCCGTAAATCACATCTCATATTCGTCATTTGCTTCCTGGCCATGATCGCTTTCGTTGGACTCATCTTCGGCTCCAGACAAAGTCTCCTGACGGCGACAGAGACTGCAATCGCACCTGCGACAGCGCTGCCTTTGACATATAATCGCATCCTCAGCGCATCTATGCTTTTCGGAATCACGTCGCCGACATACAAGCGAGCCATCGAGACTCACATGCGTCAGGCTCAGCGATGGGGCTACGCCACTGAAATACTACAAAGAGATGAAGGTTGTGGCTTCTGGACCAAATTGATCTTCTTGCTCAACCTTGTTGGTCAGGAGATGCAAAAGCCTGCCGATACAAGAGCAGAGTGGATAATGTGAGTCGAAACAGTTGTTCGGCTCGGACACGGCGATACTGATATGACTGCAGGTGGGCTGATGCCGATGCACTTATTCTCAATCCGAATATTCCACTGTCCATTTTTCTGCCACCTCCAGATCTACCTCACATACACTTTGTCGGCAACAAAGACTGGAATGGTCTCAACAATGGGGTTTTCTTCATACGTGTCCATCCGTGGACCGTCAGCATGTTGACATCAGCCATGTCCTTCCCGATCTGTCACGAAGACGTCAATTTGGGTCACAACGTCGAGCAAGAAGCCATGAGATTGACATTCGAGCGCGAGAACGGGGGCAAAGACGACAAGGGCTGGCGGAGTGGCATTGTCTTTATGCCTCGCAAATGGTTCAACGCGTACGACCTCTTCCAGGACGAGATTCAAGGCAGTGATTACTACAACGAGGTTATCAACAAGACAATCTCATCGTATCCGGGCTTGAATATGACACACAGGTACGAAGGTATGCGTGGAAGCATGCTAGCCCATTTCCCCGGTATCAATGGCAATGTACGTCAAGAGCTGATGGAAGACTGGATGGATCTTCTCGACAAGGAATGGTCAATGCAGTATGGAGGCAGCGGCAATTTCACAAACCTGACAGCAGACTCTGTTGAATTCGAGCGCATGACACAGACATGGGATCGCGACGTCAAGGCCAATGGGACCTCGCTGTGGACTCTGCCTGTCCATGAGACTTCCTTGCTCAACGAGACCACCGCGTTCTGGAGTCGCTATCGTGCGGCTCTGGAGCTCTCGCTTCAAGCCACGTCATCTGGTGCTCATGACATTAGTCTTGTCAAGTCTGCTTTGGATCTTAGAATTGCTCTGGCAGATCATATGGATGAGCCAAAGATCGTTGACGAGAAGATTCAGCATTTGGAAGCTTTAATGGAGACGAGGCTACGATAGCATTTGTGATGCAATGGAACTTGCGAGGTTCAAAAAGACTGGAGTGGGTAGTTGATTCACATTAGAAATCGCAAATCACATTTTCTCTTTGTTTCAACTACCCTTAATTTTCTCGACTCCTCCCCATATACTAAGAATTGTAACTTACGCTGTACTCCGACAAAACGATGAGTAGAAAGGCACAATTAGAACAAGAAGCAGAGGCATGTCCACAGAGAGCCGGCAACGTGTTGTCTCTCGGCAGATAGCATTGTGTTCCCCGTCACTATTGCGTATCTAGCAAGTTATACCCGTTACATACTCTAGCACACGGGGGAGTACATCTTGTTAACACCCCACGACTATCACCACCCCACAACTCAACCGTCGGCACCGTCTGTCGGCTGGTTATTACCCGAATTATTCCCTGTTATGGCGCCCGAGGTTTGTGCGCGCAGACCAGAGTCCCCTCAACGCCCTACTGCACCGCCACTGTGATATGGAGATGGAATGCGAAACGTGGTCCGAATTGGACGCAACAGAAAGCGCGTTTCCACGAACGATGATTGTCCTGCTGCGCCCTTCCTCACATCTCCGCCACGTCGTCACTTTGAGATCGACCCGCCCCGGCCTTCTTCGCGACTTTCATCGTACCTATAACAGCCGGGAACAAAGTAGAAAGGATACCGCTGGCTTTCGTCTGATCTCTGCCTCCAGGACTATGATGCTTGCAGTATCCAGTCTGATTCAACATTGCGACAGTTTTGATCCGCTGCGTACCGCATGTAGACCGAATCATTAGCGATCATGCTCCGGAGCTGTCAAAGTGCACGATACTGCCACTGCCACCTCTGTCATCACTTTTTTCGAGTGGCAGAGATAGATAGGCCCGGCGGATCTGATATGTGTTCTGCCTATCCGACACGATGTTTCTTACGTGGCCCGTAACACCAAGAAAGTGAGATCTGACCGAGATCGCAGCCCGTCAAAAACGCCAGATCACGGGAGACCGAGACCCTTGGATCGAATGGTATGGAGCTTGATTCATGCTTAACTCCAGGTCATTAGAAATGGTTTGATTGGTGCACTCAAATAGCGAGTGCATCAGATAGACTTCGAGGCTCCAGTGACATACCACGCCGTTGCAGCTGAAAATCTCCGTGACGTACCTTTGGCGATTACCCTTCGCTGCAAACATCAACATTAGATGACTCCTACAGGGATACAAGTAAGGCACATACTGGTTTGTAGCTTACGAGAATGGAGAATTGACTGTCGAGTATCGATGGTATATTATCGGAGTATACGCCGAGGAAGCAGGAGGAATCCTTCAGCCCTGTGGCAGTTGTCGTGTGCTCACCTTCCAAAACAAGCCTCAATCTGGATCCAAATAAGCTTCACGGTACGTCACTTTGACACCCTGTAGATCATCAACCATTCCTGATGGAGACTTCGCGGGACTCATAACTGACCTTCGTTCCTATGCGACGTACGAAACTCTCCGCGCTTCCGCTACTGCTTGTCGCGTGCCACCTTGTCATTGCATGTATATGACCATGGCTCTCTGCTCCACCAGCCTCACCCCGACATTTTTGACACCTCAATCCTCCATCGACGATGCAGACACTTTTCCAATACCGGCGTGAGCAGCAATATGCAAGACAAGTACAGGCACGCACCAATTCATTGAAACGAACCATAAGGGACCTGGACCCACCGTCTCCTCTCGATGACGAGAAAGATATCAGCGATTCCGATCTGGATCTGACTGGTCGTGAGCATTCTTCGGCCGACCTCATCGATGTCGAACAACAAAGACCACCAATGACCCTGCGTGATTCACATGGCGCCATCATCAAGCCAGCTCACGACAATACCGAAGCCAAAATCCCTGTCAAATGCGACGATGATGGCAAGGACCAAGCAGATCCCCATAACTGGTCACGGACGAAGCGGACGTGGACAACTGTGCTGTTGTTCTGTCTAGTCTTCTCACAAGGATGGGTCTCTGCTTGTGATTCCAACGTCACGAAGCCGTCAGCCAGGGAATTTCATGTCAGTCAAACATCTGAGACATTGGCAACCGCTTTGTTTCTCCTTGGCATCTCGCTTGGAAGTCTTATCGTTGGCCCGCTATCGGAAGAGCTCGGTCGCAACCCCCTCTATATTGTTCCTTCCTTCCTGTACTTGTGTTTCCTTCTTGGAGATGCCCTTTCACCTAATTTTGGAGCTCAAATCGCCTTTCGCTTCCTCTCCGGCTTAGCCTCGAGTTCGACACTTTCAATCTATGGTGGAAGTCTGGCCGATCTCTACACTACTGAAGAAAGGAACAAGATCTGGCCTGTGTTCGCCCTTAGTCCCTTGCTATCACCTATCCTATCCCCTGTGGCCGGTGGTTGGATCAATGGACATATCTCATGGCGATGGGTTTACTGGATTGGACTCATCATGAGTGGAGCCTTCTTCCTTCTCGCTGTATTCTTCCTGCCAGAGACCTACTCTCCCATGATCATCCAATGGAGAGCGCATCATCTGAGAAAGATTACAGGGTCCGATAGATATACCTGTGAGCTTGAAGGCAAGGAGACCCTTCGTCAGAGACTTGCTCACAACCTCCAACGTCCTGCAAAATTTTTCACCACAGAGCCAATCATCATGGCTTTGGGCTTCTACCTCATCGTCATTTACGTTGTCATCTTTGACTTCCTCAACGGTTTCGAGTTCATTTTCACAGATGTTTGGGGACTATCCTCAGGGGACACTGCTCTCGCTTTCTTGGGTATCTGTCTTGGAGCAGTAATCTCTGTTGCACTGATGCCTCTTATCTATAAGGTTCATCGCAGGATGAGTAAGAAGGAAAATGACGGAGAGACTTCACCAGAGACACTACTATTGCCAGCCATGGTGGCATCGCCATTCTTCGCCATCTCGATCTTCTGGCTCGCATGGACCAGCTACAGGAGTGTGAGTTATTGGTCCGCCTACGTATCGACAGTCCTTTTTGGATATTCCATGACGGCCATCTTCGTCAGTAGCTACAGCTACATCATCATCATCTACGGAACATACAGCTCTAGTGCTTTGGGCAGTGTCACCATGGCCAGATATTTTGTTGCTGCTGGAATGGTTGTCGCAGCCAGACCCATGTATATGGGCATCGGACATCACTGGGCATTGTCATTCTTGGGTTGTCTGGGTGTAGTCTGCTTGCCGGTACCCTGGCTCATTCACGCTTTTGGAAAGAAGCTGAGGGACAAATCGGACTTTATAAACCATTGAGGAAACCACAACAGAAGGGTCAAAATATTTTACACATGCATAATCATATACATCAATCAACATTAATGTCTCACAACATCACTCTGCTCATGGGGACGAAGGATTCTGTTTACGTTGGCTCTCTGTGTCAGAGCAGAGTATACGCCATAAACAGGCACAGTCTATTTCAAGAACATGGGCATATTCATGGAGGAGTCTATAAGGTTTCTCCTCTCAACGGACACTATTTTGTTCCTTGCTGATAATGTGCATTTCTATAGCTACATGCGTTGCATACTTGAGCACGCGGGGAAGTGCAATGTCTCCGACGACCCCTCTCGGTCCCAAGCTTTGTGATCAGCTCGGTCCCGAGATCAGTACCATCACAACCAACTTTCTCGACTATAAATCAAGACATCTGCCCTATGATTTTCTAAAAAGCAAGAAGTCAAGAAAAAGTCAATATACTCCTCATCACATCATCATTACCAACACCAAGGAACACAAACTTGAACCATGTCGGACACATCAGACTTTCGCAATCCTTCCACACGCTCGCAAGCCCCTCAACACATCCTTATCGTGGGTTGTGGCATAGCAGGACCAGTCCTTGCAAGCCTCCTGCTGTCATCTCAGACTCCTATCACCAAACTTCCACACATCACAATCCTCGAACGCAATACTGCCGCTCTTGGCTCCGGCCAGAACATCGACATTCGCGGTATTGGCAAACATGTCATCGAGAAACTCGGCTTGACGCAAGGAATCAAGGAAGCGACTACAGGCGAAGAAGGCGTCAAAATCGTCGATGCGAACAATAGGATCTGGGCAAAATATGCTGCTGACAAGACTGGTGAAGTCGAGACTGGAACTTCTGATGTTGAGATCTTGCGTGGCAGGCTTGCGGAGATTCTCTTGAAGCAAGTTAGGGAAGTGAGCGAGGATGTTGGGGCGAGAGGTGGGTTTAGAGTCGAATTCATCTTTGGGGACAATATCGAGAGTCTGGAGCAAGATGATGAGAAAGTTTACGTTCGACTTGCGAAAGCAGGAAGTAGAACTTACGATCTGGTTGTTGGTGCCGACGGACTTCACAGCAAAACACGGAGACTGGCTTGGGGAGCTGAGCAAGAGGGTTGCTTAAGACCTCTGCGCATGTACGGTGCCTTCTTCAGCACGACAAAGGAAAAAGCGGACGGAGAATGGAGATCATGGTATCATGCTCCTGGTGGTGTCAGTGTTATGCTGCGACCCTCGGGCACAAAAGAGAAAAGTACCGTGCTTGTACTCCTGGCTGATAAAAATGACAACATCGCGAAAGAGATGGCAGGACAGGGGAGGGATGTTTCGGCACAGAAGAGGCTAGTGCTGAAAAAATTGGAAGGCATAAACTGGCAAGAGAAACGTCTGAAGACGGCTGTCAAGGCAGCAGATGACTTCTACTTCGACACCACGGCGCAAATCAAACTGAACAGATGGAGCAAGGGTAGAGTTGTCTTGCTGGGCGACGCTGGGTACGTTGTTGATCTTGTTTCCCAACCATCCACTAACCTAGTTACAGATACTGCGCATCTCCCTTCTCAGGCATGGGATCGACACTTGCATTGGCTGGTGCTTACCATCTCGCTGGCTCTCTCGTCGCACACCCACAAGACCAACGCGACCATGCATTTGCGCAATACGAAGAGTGCATGAGACCCCTCGTCGTTAAGGCTCAGAAACTGCCTCCTGGAATGCCGCATCTGATTCATCCCCAGACTGTATGGGGAGTCTGGTTGCTGAGGATGTTCTGTGCCATCGTACATTGGTCTGGATTGATTCATCTGATGTCGAGATTCAGGGGGCCGCCAGCTCAAGTGAAAGAGTTTCAGGAGTATGATTTCAAGGTCAAGAAAGAGCAGTGACTCCGACTACAGCTAAGGACTAACTGCGGACTGTAAAAAGGCACAATTGTCAAGGAAGCAGGAGAAAATCCACGGAGAGTCGACAAGTTGCTGCCTCTCCGTGGACATATCTTGTTTGCCAATACTATCGTGCATTTCTATAGCTATATGCGCTACATATTCAGCATACAGGAAGAATGCAGGTGTGTTAACTGGTCCGTCATTCATTGGCTATGAGCGGTTCTGGATGTACCCTGTGTTGCTCATCCCCATACGGAAAGAAGCTGTGCGATGCTGGAAGATAACCCTTCCCGTCCCCCGCTCTTGCAATTCGAACGAATAAAAAACTGCATGTCTGTTACTGGATTATAACATCCTGCCGAAGCTTTTTCAACCTTCGTTCACTCTTCTAACCCGTGTTTCTAGTCACAAAGTATTTCGCAAGCTGTTCTGCCACGTGCAAAAACTTGCATGGTCATTTGTCGATGCGAAGACATGTTGACTTCACACAACACTGCACCTGCAGAACGTGGCTTCGCGATGCCATACAGAATACATGAGCTCTGCAGCTCAAGCAGGTCTTGATAATGGTATATAATGCTTACTCGTCGCTCCCGCTCGAATGATTTCTCAATCCATCGAGGCGCCTCTTTCTTTCGTTGAGATCTCCTGATCTTCAAGTCGACTGCTGTCTTGTTTATCTCAAGATGAGAATCAAGGCTTTTCTTGTGATGGTCTCGACTGCCTCCGCTGCTCTGATCGAAAGACAGCTTGGTGGTGGCTGGTGGGATGCAAACTGGACTGGGCCTCGTGGCGCTGACGGGTGTCCTCAGTTCCAGCATGTAGCCGTCTTGTCTGTCGATGGCTCGCACGCCAGTGACATCGATAAGTGGCTGTCATTGAAGCCTTCGTCCAACATTCCAATGATGCTCCAAGTGCCGAGCTGACCTAGCGATCATGATACAACCTCACTGACACTTTGTTCAGTCGGCGTAGAGAACTTCTTCAAGAACCTTCTGCTCGTTGACACAATTGTCGAAATCGCCTGGGAAAAGAAGGTCACGCCGACCCAACTTACGCTAGCATGACTCCTCACGCAAGGCAAGAATAATCTTCCAGTATGTACTTATCCTTTCTTTCAGCTATCCACTCCATCTCAATTTCCCAGCCTGATCTAAGCGTTGTTATATGACTCTTATGGTTGACGTCCTCCTCGATTTTCGGCACGACCAATCTCTCTCGGGTGATTGAGAACTACAGCGCACTCAACGTCAAGTGAATCAGTAAGCAACGTTCCAAAGCTTATCCTCGGCTATCTTTGCCTCTTTCCCTTTTCCCATCAAGCCTTTCGGCAATTAGCCTCATTATCAGCCGTGCATCGGCATACCTTGCCACCTCTTACATTGGCAACGACCCGCTCTGGGTACCGCTAGTCTACAACATAGTGCTGCCGGCCTTCGTGTTCCCAATTGTCAAACAAGCCTACATGGATTTGCTCGATATAAATTGCTCATGCTGTGCTTACCAGTCACGAACCCAGATCTGGATGGATGGCAAGTCGTGGGGAACAGTCAGATGCGTTTAATGCGCACGCCGGAGTTCGCTGAGTCAGACACGAAACGGTTTGCGCCTGACAATCCAAGCGACCTGCCTCTACCTCCGCCATGCTTGAAGTTCGAATTCGGGACACCCTTGCCGCCACAAAGGGTCAGGTTGCATGCATCATCAAAGCGATTAGGGACGCGATCCCAGGAAAATGGGCTTTGTCATATCCCGCATAGTAGCACCATCTCTACGAAAAGCAGCTTTGTCTCATCGAATTCATTCCTGAGCAGCCCGAAACTTCACCCGATTGATGATCACTGGTACACCACATCATGTGATTGATCCCTCGAGGGCTTGGTGATGGTCAACCCATCCAGAAGGAACACTGATAAACGGTCGGTTAGACTAAGTACGGTCATACGAGCCCTGCATGAGCGTCAAGGTCGTATCTCCCTGTAAGCACCAGGCAACCGCAGAGATTATCCCTACATCCTGCTCGATATGTTCTGAAGTTATTCCATGCACTGCTCAACAGTCATTATGAGTCTCCGTCAGGTGCCATTTTAGTTGACAGCTGCCTGATAATCTCTCGTGTGCAGCTCTTCAGTTACAGATCAAGGCATGCGGCCTACTTAACTTGTTTTAAAACCTTCTTCTTATCCTCCTGCTTCGCATATGGGCTCGCAATGCGTGATGTTGTATGAAAACAATTTGCGAATAGGGGACATGCAGCTGGCGCACTTTCAGTCTTCGGTGTCGCAGTTTTCGAACTCCAGCCTGCCCTGAACTGGTCTCCTGATCATGGCACGCTCAACCTTAAAACCACGCGGGTAGCGAGTCCAGGCTGAAGATTCATGGTTGTGGGTCTTGCAGGGTTTGCATTTGAGTGATTCCTGGAGCTAAGAGAATCCATCGTGAGAGCTGGCGCTGATCAATCTGATTGTGAGCGGTGCTTGTAGCCGATAGGCTTGCACTGGCGATCGTCCATGAGATCTCACAGACATTGATGAATTCGTTACCGAAGTCGTCAAAGTCTGAGTGGCTATACGCTTTACAACCATACGAGAAGCATCCCATCCAACGATCGATGGGCTAAAAGACGCTTCCGAAGACCTGTGCCGTGACCAGAACGCTGGACTTGACATATGAGACGAGGGAGATAGATCGACGATCTGTTTGCTTTCATCAGCTCGGTCAATTCAATCTCAAGTCACAAGTTGATATGATTATCTGGCAGGTGGTTGTCTCTCGTTATATAACCATTGACAGGTAGGTTGGTGGCTCTTGATCTACACTTCGGTACCACGCAGCTTCCTGGTTCTCGTCTTAGTCGCAGACCTGATGAGCTACTATAGGCACTGGCTAAAACACCAGAAACTTTCTTAATCCTTCGTATCTTAGTGGCATACGAATAGGTTCGTATTACAGGTCACCAGATAAAGAATACGAATGGAACTCTAATAGTTGTAGGCCTACCTGGGCGCTATAGCATTAAGACCATAGTGCAGTCGAAGATTTTTTTGGTCCGGCAACGGGCAATGGAATAAGTCTTGCTCTATATGATCACTATGTCTATACCACTGCATGGTGGATCCATTAGCAAAGTTCACTCATGATATAATACGAGATGAATTTTGTCGTGTTATTTTAGCGTGTTTTCAGGCTCCAGAAGTCCCTGTCGTCGTCTAAAAGAGCCATTCACTCCGCTAATTGATCCCACGCTAAACAACCCTAGGGATCTAGGATGGAGAATCCTGATTCCCGTTAGTGCGACGCGTAATCATGTTCCTGGATCTGCACCTGATCCCTTAAGCACATGCAAACCAACGATGCGGATAGCAATTGGATTTGATAACAAGCTTTGTCTTAGGGGAGGGTAAGCGTCACATGCACCAACGTTACAGTTGGACATAAGAACTAGAATTCTTCCCACCACTCCTGGATTTCTGCTACCACTATGCTTTTGTCGGACTTCAAACAATGTCTGCTGATAATAATCAATACACACAGTTCGACATCGAAAAGCTCACTCAGACAGAATGGGTCAACGAGCATCAACGCAAGCGAGCGGAACTAGGCGAAGCAGCATATCTGAAGCTACGCAAGAGCGAGATCAACACCAAAATGCAAGACATTTTCGCCAGACTGCATTCTGGTCAGCTCCAGCTTCCGATCAAAGAGCAACAAGAGCCCGATCGCATTGCTCTACCTGACGGGCGACAGTTCTACATCGGCCCGAGTCACGGAGTCCCTGACGCGGTCTCCGAGATCCTGCACTCCCACCAGGGTCAGACCGCCGCCGATCTGCCACCAGAATGTCTGAAGTTCGAGATACCACGAGAAACATTGGACAATGAGGAACGGGAAAGAGATATGACCATGCAGGAAAGGGAGAAAGCTCAAGATGAGAAGATATTGAGTGGTGAATTTTCTGTCAGAAATATCAAACCCGAGGATATTCTTACTTAGTTAACAAAGGATATGATCATCTCACAAGTTTTGTCAGACGGTATTGCGATTCATTCTCGAGCTTTTTCGTACGAATCCTGGCCTTCACGCTCTTTTCCAAAGTAAGATCTCCCGCGCACAGACATTTGGTGTCTTGCTCTAAAGTGCAGGTGCTTGCTCTAAATATGCAAGTGGTGGTTCGAAAATGCTCAAGTAGTGACTGACACAAGTTTCAGACACCAGGCTCCGAGATGGACTGGAAATTCTCTAGAGAGTTGGCCGAACGCCAGTTCGACATCTTTATTGCTCTGAGAGAGGGAGCGGGTCCTGCTGGTCAGTACAGTCGTGTTTCAAAAGCCACTGTGGCCACAGAGACAACCTCAGTTATGCTCTCTCACTGCCCTTCCGTCCTATAAAGTGAACACGATCGAAATACATAGCCCTCTACCCATGGCCCACCCCACATTCTAGTAGGCTTAAGCTTTCCATGAATTACGGCGGCGATCAGATACTGGCGCTAGCGCCCACACAGACAACAACTTTCAAATAGAGTACAGTATCGTCCATTCCATCTTCCTTCTTGCCCCACTGAAGTCGGAAAACAGCGTGCATCATTCCACAGCGTGCGTTGCCCCGCTAACATAAAAATCATGGCAACGGGGGAGAATGACCGCCTTTCACCTCTGTCGGCGACAGCAGCCAAATGTCCCGAAGAAACGGCACCGCTACTGCTTCAGTATTCTGGCAACATGACGCATAGCGAAACAGCCCGGGACTTGCGTCCCACCATGTCGCGCGCTACAATACACGATATGTTCCGTCACTATACACCTGCGTTCAGTTCAGATTCCAGACGGAGCCCTACTGGACAACTATCGTTGAAGCCGCGGCAGATCAAACAGCGTAGTGGATGTAAACCCTGCAAACGTCGCAAGGTGAAATGTGACGAGGAGCAGCCGCACTGCAGACGCTGCAGAATACGTGGCGAGACATGCATTGGCAATATCAAGCTCAATCGGTGGCAGGTCGAATGCCCTGGAATCCCGTCCATTCGTGAAGCGCCAGCTACGACGCCTACCATGTGTAGCGACGCCACCCTCATGGACACCAATACCGGCCTCAATATCCATCTTGCGATACCACCCGTTGCCCTACCTGCACCCGAGGACGCAGAGGTGCGGTATTGGCTCGACCGAGCCTGTTGCGTCATGGTCCTCATGCCTAAAGCATTCAATTCACTATGTGAAAGCATTTTCCCATATCTGCATCGATCAGAGGCGCTTCGACATGCGATAAAAAGTATCAGTCGAGGCCACGAAGCCCATTTCTCGCGATCCGGCAATGCGCTTTTGCCTGCGTTAGAGGAACGAGATAGAGCCCTCTCTTCGCTACAACGCGAGTTGGCGCACGCCTTGCGGGAACCAGACCGCACCTTGCCAGATAGTCTGCATCCCATCATGTTGACTTCCTTACTCCCGGGCGTGTCTTCAAATTGGCTTGTGGATCAGGAGGATGGATTCCAATTCTTTCTTGGCGTGCGCCATATCCTACAGGGATTTCTCCAGCGTCAGGAAGCTGCGGATAGCATTATGAGATACGTTCTTGGACTCTATGTGTACTGGGAAGTCACGGCGCCTTATTTTCAGCCCCGTCAACAGTCTAGCGCTCATGCAGGCCTCGTTCCAGACCTAAAGACGATTGTCAGGCGTTACTTGGGTGACTCTCCTCATACCGTACTTGGTCTGGGATCGACCATCTTCCCCATCTTGGCAGAAGTCGGCCAGCATTATCGGCGAATGGTCGAAGGACAAGATTGTCTGACGGAAATGCACGAAGACGAGCTTGAAGCTCAGCTGCTAAATTGGAAGGTTCCAGAACAAGCGCATAGATCGCCAGACAACCATCCAATGCTCCGCTTATTGGCAGATGCACATCGTTGGACCGGAATAGTCATGCTTTATCAAGCCGTATCCGTACAAACCAAATTGACCTCGGAACGCCGCGACTTGATGGATCGTGCAATAGTCTCGGTAATGGAAACCCTACGTTTGATGCCATCGGGTAGTTCCTACGAGACCGCAGTGCCGTTTCTTGCAATTGTCGTAGGCTCCGAATTGCGCCAACAAGATCTGGGCTATCGTGCAATGTTGAGAGCTTTCCAAGGAAGACTGGAGCAGTCTGTCAGAGTGAGAGCATACTCAGACATGTTCCAACAACTCTCGAGATTGTGGAATCGCCGTGATGCTGGTGAAAGTTTGACATGGCTGGAGCTCATGTACGAAGAGGCTTTTTTCCCGCCTATAGTATGATTGTTCATCGTTCTTTCAACCAAACTTGCGTCACCTCTGTCGCTAGCGCTGATATACCGAACGGCAAAGGCACTATTCACTATTGAAGGCGCGCTTCGTTGACTAATTGTACTCCAGCACTGCGAGTCGCGTCATGAGACGGTAAGCAAAGACTGCACAAACCAATGCTGACTAGAGAAACAATTGTAGACCTCCCGTCAGAGGAGAAACAGCTAATCTAAGAATGCAGACAGGAAAGACTCCATGTGGCAGGTACTTAAGCTGAAGCAAAATGACGTTCGACAACCATCTCACGTTCCTTTGCGGCCAAACGCTGGCTTATCCATTGCAATCCGACCTTGAACTCACGCAGATCATCGTAATGACGCCCAATGAGATACGGAAGGTAGGAGTGTCCAGCACCAAGCTCGTCCTCCCCAACGACCGTATGTTCTGCCAAGCCCGAAACGTACTCCAGCTGTCCGACAGACTTGATGGGGATGGTGTGCAGTGGATTGGCTGTGGTTACACGCATTGTGACTGATCCCTTGCCGAGTGATTGGCGCGTCTTATGTTCAGTGACTTCGAGAGTGTCAACAATCGGCTCCCATTGCATGCCGGTGCCCTTCAAGTTCGGGTAGGCCTTGATCTCGAACTGGTGACCCTTCAGAACCTCCTCAGGTAGATCATCGCCGAACTCTCCCTCAATCTCAATGAGTCGTACCCCATTCCGCTCTGCGTATGCGTAGCGATGATTGCCAGAGCGGTAGAGGCGAGTGATACCGGTCTTTTTAGTCTCACCCCACACTTCACGACCCCATGTGACAGGCGTATCTCCAGAGATGAGCATCTCGAGACAGTATTTGCCTGTGATCCCCTTGAAGATAGCATCGATAGTAACCAGTGTACAGTCAAATTCACCGCAAAGTTTGCTTTCCATGCTGCTCAGGAGGATGCTGCCTTTGGGCTCAGCAGCAGGCTCAAATCCGGGTGGGAGGACGCTCTTGACAAATTCTTCTGTCGTGCGAAATTCGACAGCGATGCCTTCCTGTGAGAACTCAGGCTTAGAGGACCATTTGGAGAAGACTGAGATCTCCTCGGGTGAGGCGACGTAGCTCATGTCGAAGATGGTTCTCGTTTGATCGTCGGTGAGTGTGGTGCTGATACTGCTGCAGGTTACAAAGGCACTCTAGGTGGAATAAATACTATTTACTGATTGAAGTCGGTAGCATGCCTTCTGTCATCCAGCACAGTAATAGGGCCAGCTCTTTGAGTCGAGTAAAACCTTGCCCTCGCTTCTATATCGCGCGATTGCCTATCAAGGCCGAAGTGCGACGTATCGACGTGTGGGTCGAATTTTCCCCACCTCTTCCATAATTAAAAGAAAAGTGCGGAAAGTTGTCGTTGTCGCCTGATCTCGGCGCCTCATATTGTCCGCACCCACTGTAGCCAATACAATCACTCTCACGTATCTCGAGCGGACCACTGAGTACGACTTTAGTGTAGAGCAAAGGTAGGGGAACGATGACATTAACCCGTGTGCACTCGAGGACCAATGCGCCTGTACCTTCTCCGCAGGTGGAAAAAGATGGCGTAAGCCACAATCACATCGGCTGAGCCTCTTGCCCGCATAATGGCCAGTTCGAGTAACTTGACCAGGGCAACGGCGCTCGGGGTCCTACCCTGACTGGCAATACATGTCGCGGAATCTGCAGAACCTGCTAGGCCGCTTGAGGCAGTAATCTAGTCAAGGGTTGTGCGACCCGAACTTTTGATGCTGTTATCGCGTTGATATCGCGTGCTTGCCTAGCAAGGCGGATGTGCGATGTCTTGACGCAAGCTCCAGAATGCCTTCTGCCACCCTCAAGTCTGGAGACTGCCAATTTTTGGCTCAGAGGTCGAATCGTTCCAATACCCGCGGTCGAGTTAATAACCGCATTGATATACGGATTGGTCGGTGCGGCTAGATATGGTAATGCCAAAGCTACCTATCAATGGTGCTTTATGCGAACTAATGATAACAGTCTCGTATAGCCCTAGCAAAAGTAGTGTCATATAGATAACAAGATCAGTAGCTGTTCAGCAAGTGTGTAGGAACCTTACTTCAACTTTATTCAGAATCATGGTGCACATAAAACATTCACGGTGTGATAAAAAAATTGCATCACAAGATTTCGTCTTAAGTCTACAGCGGACGGTTGTTCTGCCTTTACGCATTCTCTCTGTAAGTTCATAATTCAGAAGATAGTCCTGTAGATCTTCAGGAACACCGTACCCAAGTTCACGTCAACCTCGACTAGCTTCCATCTGCAGTGACTATTGTGAAAACAATCACAATATTCCTGGCATGCATGCGATCTCAATTGTCTGCATCATCTGTACCCGTGCAGATATAATGGCTCTTGCCGTGGAGGTACCAATAAGCCACGCCCCAGAGTGTGATTCCAGCCAGGACACAAGCGACGTAATTCATTTGAGCCGCCTGCACCGGAACATAGTACGGGAAACAGTAAAAGATCAACGAGATGACCGTCCAAATGACGGTCACGGCATTTGCGACAGGACCAAAGCGCGTACACCAGAACGGTCCGCGCTCGATCTGACTTCTACCGCGATACAGCATGAACAGAATGGCTGTTGAGTAGGTGATATACTGAAGAAGAATACCTGCGGAGATGAAAGATCCCGATGCTGTAGAAGATCCTAGCTGTATACAACCAAGCAGTCCAGTCCAAGTCGACGACCAGACATGCGCCCAGAAAGGAATTTCAAAGGGTTTGGGGGCAATTTGCCGCTGATACGAATGGAATGGAAAACCCTTGTCAGGACTGAAGGCCCACGCGATACGGGCTTGCCAGTTTTGTATTCCGATCATGGCTCCAAAAACAGAGATCAGGATCAGGAGTTGGAGCGCGGTGGCTGCAGCGATATTCTGTTCCCAGGCTTGGTAGAAGGCTTCCAGGGAAGGGGTTCCCAACGTGGAAGTCGCTATGGTCGAGATGTTGGAAACAGATGCGAAGAAGGAGAGGGTCACAGGGAGGCCCGTGATCGTACCCAAGCCGACGGTCCACAAGAGAGCCTTCGGGATCTTGCGCTGAGGCTCAGGAATCTCGTCTGCGAGGTGAACAGCTGCGTCCAGGCAGAAAGAACCCCAGTTGACGCCATTGGCGCCGAGTAGGAAGCCGATACCGTCTGACCACCCACTGACATTGTATACATCCAAGATTGCGGACTTCAGATTGGCTGGCGAAGATTTGGCAAGCGTACAGGAGAATATGACCACAAGAGCTGAGATTGTGAAGAACAGTGTGCCTTTGGAAGCCAAGGGGAGAAGTTTCTCAAAGCAGTTTATAACGAAGGAAACGAGGTTCGTCAATTGGAAACCCGCGAAGATCATCCAGGGTTTGCTGACAAAGTGAGGGTTTCGAAGCGATACACTGCAAGTGCCATCTGCGGAACTGCAAGGCAAACGGAGGTTCCCGTGCAAACAGCTCCTGCCCAGCCATAGACCCCAGCCATATAGGCAGCAAATCGTCGGTATCTTGCCGGACACAGCCGCGCGACCCAGTAGTATTGGCCTCCGGGATGCGGCATGGCGGATGCAAGCTCTCCAAGACTGACCGCTGCACACATGCCAACTGCTGCCATGGAGAGGAAGGTCCAAAGATACAGGGGGCCCCCTCCCAAAGCGAGTCCGCTGGGTAAACCAACGAGGATCGTGATCGCTGTGTTGGAGATACTGTGTCCGACGCCCATGGCCGAAAGGGTATTGAACGGCTTGAGCGGTAGGGTGTCATCCACGATATCACCATTGGTCAGCGATTCCAGTGTAGGTATCAACATCATTGATGTGTTTTCATTGTTTTTCTTTCCATCCGACGTGCGCTGGTTGGTCGTGTTGGACAGAGTTTCTTCCATCTTCGAAGCAGCGTCTGGAAGGTGGTGAAGGATGTCAAAGCTGTCAATTAACGACGCATAGATTGAGAGATGGACCGAGAATGAACAAATGCAAAGATAGCGACATGAGGAAGCGTAGCGGGTTTTTACTTGGAACCCAATCGATCTTTGTCGCTATATGGCTTGGTAACGCTTGCCAGTAAGATGGGGACGAAGACATGAGCGATAAGCCTTGGACTTGCTTCTTGCGTTGATATGAGCCACCACCGATAATCATGGCGAAACAAACACCATAATGATCGTAGCGCTTACAAAAGGGCATGTGGTAAACTTTTTTTGATGAGCGGCAGATGGCATACGCTGTGCCCTAGCCCTAACAGCTTGGTTTCTTCCTTTTCCACAGAGATACTCCCCACACGTTGCCAAATTGGGACGAAGTGCGATTTTTTACAACGGTAAACCGCTAATCACACCTTTATCATATCCAACTTCCTTCGGACAAGAGGTTTGGGAAGCCCGAGCGGCCAAGGGCAAGCGGCTTGATGTTCGAATTTCATGACAAACACACAAATCATCTACCTTCTACTATGAATCACGTGTAACAGCTGATTGTTTCATACGACCGAATCATAGCTAGGCTTAGTCCGGACGTTTGGCAATCAATTCTTCGGTCCAGTCACGACAAGACTATATCATTCAGTTGATGGAGCAGTACTTGCTTGTATGTCAATCCAACAACATGTATGATCTATGAACACTCTTTTAATTAGAGCTACAACGTCGCATGATGATACTGAGACGTCTACAGAAGCTAATACAGATACGATCAGTACTTTGCTCTTGAATGGGTGCAACAAACTGTTTATCTGATTGGAGGTATGTGAGCCAACAGATCAAGTTCGATTGAGGACTTACAAATCTAATTCTGGAGTAGGTGATCCAAAGAATGTCACAGTCATCGGTGAAGGTGCGGGCGGCGGCTCGATTCTATATCAGATAACTGTAAGAGTCCTTCATGTGAAGCTTATAATCGCTCGTAACTATGGCATGTAGTTGACGATTGACAGGCTTACGGCGGTAACAAGGTCCAGTCACGTTCGTAGGGGCTGTGCTTCAATGCCCTGGCTTCTTCCCACTTGCGTCTCCATCACGTCAAGGGTTTATTTTCAACAACCACCTCGCTCTACTGAATGTTTCGACACTGGAAGAGGCGCGCCGATTGCCATTATCTGCCATCATCCTGGGAAATGCAAAACAGATAGCAACAAACACACTATACGGGCAAACTCTCTACGGATCCGTCGTAGATGGCGATTTTGTAACTGCCCTACCAGGACGACTGCTTGCTCATGGCCAATATGACAAAGATTTGTCTGTCATGACTGATTATAATTCAAACGAAGGTCTTATTTTCGCTGAGCCATTTGTCAATAATGGCAGCGCGCCAGAAGCCTTCTTAATCACCCAGTTCCCGGCACTCCATATAAGCATACCACCAATCTTGCAAGCAAGAATATTCTTGGCATACTTTCGCCCTTCCATGGCCGCATTGGTCGATGTCCTTCTTTCGTCGGCGACTTCATCTTACAGTCAATGTTGCCATGAAACTTAGAATAGATCTACCAAGATCGTCAAAGTTATTCACGCGCCGGATGGCTCTTCGGCGAGCTTTCTCGATACCGTCAGCCAAGAAGGCAACTGGAAAGATGCCAGACTCTCGCCCCGAGGCGGGTTCTCTAAGCGTGGAGACGCCAGCGAGATTCAGTCGTCGATTCCACAGTATTTAACTCACTTCGAAACCTAACGAAGGCATCGCGAATATGACTTTAGATCCGCATGGATACATAAGCGGGCGATGGCTCCACCGTAACAAAGACTAGATTGAAGCACGCTACATCGAATTCAATTACGACGCCCTTTGCAAAAAGGCTGTCGAGCAATGTCCCGGCTCTCAGAGCGTCGTCGGATGTAAGAAGATTGAGGGAGAATTCAACAGGGTCTTTGTGTTTACAATGGATGATGGTCAGACTCTTATCGCAAGGCTGTCCTTCTCGGTTGCCGGCCCACCTCGATATGTGATTCACTCAGAGGTCGCCACCATTGCTTATAGTAAGTTTTATCCTCATATCCCTTACTTTTCCTTCCGTTGCTTTTAATTCGATTGACATGCGACTCACTTCTCTTGTCCCGAAAAGTCAAGTCCAAAACATCCATCCCAGTGCCGGACGTTGTTTGCTGGTGTGATTCAAGCTCGAACCCGATAGGCACAGAGTACATTTTTATGAAACCGGTGCCTGGCGTCCAGCTTCACGGTCGATGGGAGACGATGACAAGCTCAGAACATCTCAGCTGCATTGAATCCATTTCGAAGATGATGGCTCAAGCGACGAAGCTTGAGTTCCCTGCATACGGCAGTCTTTATTTTCGGAAATTTCCATTCCTGAACATCTAAGGAAAGACTTTGCGCATGGTTTTTGTGTGGGACCTCACTGTGGTTTTACCTATTGGAATTGTGCACCTGGTGAAGCTTCAATTTATTGTCAGACCATTGACAAGGGACCCTGTAAGTACGAGGACAAAAGTACATGTCATATCATCTGACTTGATTCCAGGGGTCGATCTTTCCAGCTACTGCGGAGGCCTGATTACATCTGCTCGCTCTCGTATCCCAGCCTCTGTACCAGAAGACCAACTGCCTTATCAGGGCTCAATCCAGGATCATGTCAGGTTCGTGACAGAATGTGAGGCTGTTCTCTATGATCTCATAAAGAGGCCTCAGGTGCAACGCGTCGCAAAGCCAACTCTGCTGCATGCCGATCTGCACAAAAGGAACATCTTCGTTCCCGACAGCGATCCCACCAAGATCACCGGCATCATCGACTGGCAATCGACAAGCATCGAGCCCGCGTTCATCTACGCCAACGAAACACCTGATTTTGCAAGCTTGGTAGATGATGTAGCCGGAACGGCAAAAGACGAACAGGACCAAGCAAGGCAAAAGAAGCGAACGGACATCCAGTTGTGCGCCGAAGCCTTTGAAATATGGATGGAGGGCCACGCCCCAACCATTAGCCAGGCCCGCGCGCTCGATGACACCATCCTGCGGCTTTTTCGCCATTGCAATACCTCATGGAGGGACAGCGTTACGGCTGTTAGAGGCGACCTTATCGACCTGGCCAAAGAATGGAATGCACTAGAGCTGGGAGGCTCGTGTCCCTTTCAACCGACACAGGACGAACTCGCCATACACGAAAAGAATCGCGAAGATTTCGAGTCCGATTTGAGTCTGAGAGCGTGGCTCGTGCAGAGATTGGGCGTAACTTCGGACGGCTGGATCCCTATACATGAGTTCCCACTCATCTTACCCGCCTATCACGAAGCGTACGAGCAGTGGATCCAGATTGCCAGACAGGCCGTGGTCGCTGGCGATGCCGAAATGTCGGTGGAAAAAGCGGAGAAGCTGTGGCCGTTCGATGAGCGGTAATTCAAGCATTGAATATCATCTTGTTAAAGCGCCAGTGGATCGTCTAGTAATGAGTAGTCTGTTCTACTTACGCCTGATCCGGCAAGGAAAGGAGAGTCGTTTCCAGGGATTTCTGAATGGCTGGTAGATACTCGAACAGCTCTTGAGAGGTCTTGCTGTTATTCGCGGATGCGGCATCAATTGTTGTGATCACAGAGTGAATTGATAAATTGAAGGAAGGATGAAGCTTGGTTAGGAAGCAAGGTCCCTTATGTAGTGCTGTCTGCTGAGCATGAACAGGGTCACCAATCCAACCTGATTAACGTTGAGCAACCCTCGGATTCACAGACTGGACTGGCTGAGTACAGCCGACAAGGTCTTGACTAGCAGACACAGTTGCAGTGGAACGACCAAGGGTTTTAGCATTGGCGTTCGTGTTGGACCAGGTATCAAGTCGATCCTGGGGTCAACTAGAATGACAAAGTCGATGTGTACTCGGTGAGTATCATGTTCTTTGACACATGCTTGCCTCTACAAACTGCCATGGAAAATCATGAGTGCTACTCAAGATGAGAGAAAAAAAAGCTAGTTCTCAGTTCTAGAAAGGAATCCTCAAGGCAGAACACTTCGAGCCACGCTTAGCTGCTACGGCATGCCCTCGAACATTCCTCACTAACTAGTTGACTGAAGGGAGCTGCAGTTCATCAACATGGGTACTCAACAACACTAACAGTCACAAGTTTTGACGGTCAAAGGCTCTTTCCTCGTCGTAGGACGTGTTCCGCTTATTTCGGCGCGTCGTTTCACATGACAGCTGCTCCTCCCATCTTGTCTGAGGATGTCCAAGCCAGCCTATGAAGTCCTTTCCTCATACATCGGCAAGAAGCCTCTTCATATGGCGTCTTCTCTTGCGATTGTGTCTTGGTCTGTATTGAGAGCATGTCTCTGACTAATCAATGTCATGCATCATCTACAAGAGTAGCGTCATGTCGATTACGGTTGCGAATGCTTCTTGAGATTCTGATCATTCTGCGCGGAACGCACAAAGAACGTCATCTTGCTTTCGCGACAACACTTCTTCTTTCTGCAGGCTCGGCGTCTCTAATCCCACCTTTCTCCACTTGCAATACTCTGCACCCAGTGATTTTGGGCCGCGGAGCTTGATCAAAGCCTTGGCAGGTCTTCATATCCTTGGCACCGTCGTTATCCTCCTTGGATCAGTGAGCCAAGACAGGCTTGGGACGCATATCACTCCTACAGATACACGAGTCCGAGGCGATCGGTCCCGCAACATCCTAGCTATTGTGATTTTTCCACAACAGTGCGTCTACAAAAGACATGGCTCTGTCCCTGGACTGCAGGTAACTGTCCACAAGCTGCACTGCACAAATCCAGATCGAGACATAGGATACGAAACCTCTCACTCGATCATGGTCTCGATGTCTGTCGTTCCATACATATTCTCCCTGGCCTTGATTGTCCTTGTTGATGCTGCTGGATATGCTGACCGCGACCCGCAAACGCCATCCTGCCAAGGTTTCGATGTTATCTCAAACGGAACCCAACCTTTGCCCTCTCAAAACCTGATCATATCTACAGGAGTCGTCTGCGATCAAAGTCCTGGAAATTTTACTCCTTGCGAAGTCCTAAATGGCAGCTTCCCAACTACGTATGACATCATCATGTACCCTAATGGCTCTAGAGTCCCCGACGACTATGCAGTTGGCTATGGCCTCTGCAATGCTACAGGTGACTTCGGCACTCTGTGGGGAGAGGGTTACAGAGCTGTAGAGAATCAGACAGTGACATTCAAGAACGGCACAAGTGGATATGGTAGGTTGTTGCTACGATTCCATTGATTTCTGCTAATCGATTGTCATTCTTAGTAATATACACTCCGGTATACCGTTGCATCATCGGGCGTGTACAGGGCTGTCCATTCGCTGCCTCAATCGCGAATGATACAAAAGTCAGCGCATGCTACCCTGAGAACACGGACAGGTCTGTTTCCATCGAAACTGCTCCTGGTCACGTCAGAAACATTCCCATTCTTGCTGGTTCACGATCAATCAATGAGACCAGTGCAGAACTCGCTGCAAAGCTCACGCAGATACCAAATAACGACCCGCCACACGGCGGTCCTTCTGTTGGTGCGGGAACCGGATTGAGCTCAGCTAGGATAGGTCTCGGGGCACTTTGACGATTACAGTGGTGTGGCTGGGATTCTGGGTATTGCTTTCCTGAATAAGCTGAGTCTTGTCTCATTGTGGTCAAAGATTCCTTTAGCCCAATCAAAAACAGGACGTACGGGATTTCCTGCGCTCATTCGAGACTGAATGTATAGCTTGATGTATCAAGACAAATGTGTATTGAGATATGAAACTTGGTGATGCGCCGGTGATAAAAAAGCACACCTTCCGCTTGACTGGAACCTAGTCAGCTTGACCATCTCTCTTGCCATTTCGAACCACATGTAATTTGTTCCTGACTCCTGATGCAGTAGCAAAGCAAACTTATTCTGCCGACGATAAAAATTCTAATGCCAGTCGATTAAATCTCTCCGGGTCCTCCCAGTAACACCAGTGACCTCCCCATTCCACAACGACACCTTTGGCTCTGGGCGTTCGTGCCTTCAAGTTGGCAAAATCCACTGCTGTCAATGGCCCACGTGCAGGGAAACAACCGCTCCTGTCTGTGGCGACGACAAGCACATTCGTCCTGTTCTCAGCTCGTCCTCCGAACGTTTCCACGATACTCTGTCGCCAATCCAATGCAGTATGATCGGCCATCAAATTGCCATACCATTCGGCATTCCCCTGCCTTGCGATAGCCAAGAAGAATTCTTCATCTGCGTCTTTGACTTCATCGCTGACGAATTCGCCTGGGACAGGATGACTTCTGTAGCCCAGGCATCCAGCAATGGTACCTCTATAGACACTATCAGGATCATACTTCAACGTTGCCTTCAGATTTGCTACAGCAGCTGCAGAGTTCATGCCTCGATTGCCTTCGGCGCTGCCCCAGCTCCCATCACTCGCGTAGTTCTGCATCGGCGCTTGATCTATCCAGATCATGTGCGAGAAGACTCCTGTACCAAAGAGTTCCGCAAAAGACCACAGAATTGAGCAGCCGAGACTCCCGGCGATGCATCTCACGGTGTAGGACTCAGTGATGTTGAGATGGTTGAGAAGGTTGTGCAGATCCATTGCCAGACGGAAAACGTGGAAGCCATAGCGTGGTTTGTCAGAAGCACCGTGGCCCCTCAAATCTGGCGCGATGACATGGAAATGCTTGGATAGAGCAGGAATGTTGCGTTGAAAGACCTCTGAGGAGCCGGTGAAACCGTGTAGCTGCGTGTTGTAAATCAGAGTTGAGAAGGGACACGTTGCATGTCATTTCGCTTACAAAGATCAATACAGGGAGCGACTTGTCTCCAACGTCTTGATAGGCAATCTGGCAGCCATCATTTGTCTTGAAAAACTCCATAATCTGTCGCAAGTGAAGGCAGGGAGTACAGTTTTGCAAAGCTGCGACCTTGACAGCTGCTGCGCTTACTAATATCATTTAAAGCCATTAAGGTGGTCTCGGTCGAGGACCGTGCGCGCGTCTGTTTCCCATCCTCGTCTTTTCGCGTCGACGAATCTTCGCTTCTTGCCCAACTCCAGCTTGCACATTTGCACCCACACCTCGCGCAGCATACGCATCATCGCACCGTGTTCCGCTCGAGCCTTCGAAGATCATTGTTTGACCGCCCTCCATGGAGGCCTGATCCATCAGCCAGTAGCCCCGCAACCGCTGATCGGCCATCCTGAAGAAGAACCATATTTTGGAGTGGCAGTAGGGAATCTGTGCTCGGCAAGCTGTTCATTTTCACGGATAGATGCAATGACGCCGGTCTTGCTCGGGCAACAGCACTTCCGTCGCGTCATGTTCTTGGATTGTTACCATGCTCGCAGCACCCAAGTGGAGCCTGTTTGACCTTGAAAATGCCACTCCATGTTCGAAGATCTGGACTATGCGCTGCGGAGCTCAAATTTTTGCTCAATCACGTCGCTCAAGTTGTTGCTCAATCACGTTGCTTACTTGCGTTTAGGGTTTTAGGGTTAGGGTTTGCAGAACTTCGATACAATACTATATAAGCTATATTATGCTCCTAAACTTAGAAACCTAGGTGCGGTAAGGAAACAGGTGGTCTACCTTCTTTAGATCGTGTAGTGTTAGTTAATCCCGTATCCCATCCAGTTCCGGGCTCGGAGTCGGACAAGTAAAGTAGAGATGTACTTGTCTAGCCATTCAGCTATACTAGGAGAGAAGGACTGTTGCAGCTCCTTATAGGTCTGCGAGGTCTCCTTTCCCAGTAGGCCTCCTTGGCTAAGGATAAATGGTTTGAAAGCCTGGCCTA